GAGAGTGAAGGGGAAGGCTGGGCAATACTGAAGAAAAGTTTAAAAAATATATATTTTAAGCACTGTGAGAATGAGCCTTTATCAATGTATTGATATATAGGTAATATTGCTTTAAATTATATTTGAAACACCACCAGGTTTCCTATTTCTGGCTGTTTTCCTTCTTTCTGTCTGTTTCTGCTGTGACTCAGTGTCACAGGAGGAGGGGGTTCATAAAGTTACATTACATAGTCCTAACATTTGTTTACTATAGCATTATTTAGAAAACAACAGATCATTGCACTAGAGATGCAGTGCTTACAATCTTTTTTTCAGATTTCTGATATTTTGTGACTTTCCAATATTGAAATATTTTCCACAAACTGCTCTTTCACAGGATCCAGCTTAAGTTAAAAGAAACTTTCAGAAGTGCTTGGTGACTAGAATGAAGTATTAAATGAAAATAAGTAGCTGTGCATCCAACATTCTGACAGCAACAGTTGTACATAATCTGTCTGTCCACAGAGCAGTGTCCAAGTCATCATGGACATAAAACTTGTCTAAACATTAGCGGTAAAACTAATTGCTGCTATGGAGTTAGCCTCCAGCAGGCTGCTAATGTGGCATGAGACTTACAGCTCAGGGAATGTTATGTCTGTTTTCCCAAATGTTAACCTTCCTGTCATTTGTATTACAAATAGCAGGCTTGGACTTTCCTCGGCCTAATATAATTGTTTGTAATAATATTGTTTACAAGTTTACAAAAAATCTTTTCATGGAATGTAGCTGAAACTGTACATTTACAATCATATTGGGAGGCCATAAAAGTAGAAGTTCAAATTTGAATTGAACCAATCCAATGGCACAATTGGATCTAAGGTGGGCTGTGGACATGCCCAGTCTGTGTTCAGTAAAATGTGCATTTTAATGTTAGTTTGAAATAAAACCCAATCTTTAAGAAAGAAATCGTGTGTACAGTGTGACCAAAATGGCCAGCCTGATGTTGGGGAGACACTCCCTAACATGATCGCCAGACCTCAGATAAACCGCCAAGGATGTAGAGGGGCTGAATCATGAGGCATGACATCAGACTGTTCCTAAACCACTTCAAAAATTAGAGAAAGACAGAGAAGAAAGGAAGCCAACGCTGCTGCTTCCATCCCACATCACATCTTGGTCCTCAGTCCCATCATTAGCTTGTCATGTTTCAGCTGGGTCGAAAGAGACATTAACCATAATCAGCCTGTCAACGTGGGAGGCTGCTTAAGTTTAAAGACAAGCGCACAAGGCACTGAAAACAGCTGCGGGGGAAAGAATAATCTCCATTTTTGTATTTGCACAGAGGGTTTTGTGCTTGTAACAGACCAAAGAGCACTAAAAAAAGGAAAAAAAAAGGAAGGAGAGCAACAAGAAACGAGTGAGAGTCGAGGAGTGAGTCAAAGCTCAGGGAGCCGCAGACAGATCCTTCAATGCCAGCTGCCTCCAGGGAGGCCATTGCCAGGTCTGATTAGAGGCAGTGTCCTGAACCAGAGCTGCAGAACCAGCGGGCAAAGCTGGTAACATCTAATCTTTCCTCATCCTCTACTTCCACAAAACAGATCCCGGTGGAAACCAATCTGCGACGACAGGACCGTGAGACGTAGAAGCAGGCTGCACTCATTGTTGCCAGATAAGGCGTTATTTTGTTGGCATGGTTTATCAGGGCATATGGACAGTTAAATGAAAGATGCAGAGTTGTTAAGTAGGTGCAAATGTGGCCAACTAGAGGGCAGGAGTCAAGGTGTTTTCAAAACATACATGAGTCTTTACATCAGTGACCAGGGCTCACCATGGTCATGGTCCAGATGGAGAAGTACTGCGAGAATACTGAGTCAAACAAAGAGCTACTAGTTTGATACACACTTTTTTAAAAAATCGAATAATTTGGTGATGATAATAATAATAATAAAATGTTCATATATGTAAAGAGAATGTCTAATTATATTGATATTTTTATTCACGGTTTGACATTAATGAGCTCATTTGTTTTGTTCAAACCACAACTGTTTTTGTACAATTATCATTCTATACCATTTCTACAAATTGCATCCATTCACATCCGTTTATGTTTCTGAATCACTATTATCGTTTTCAATCAATGTATCACAAAAAACAATTGACACTCAAAAACTTAACAACAAATACTAAGTATTCATGAAGGTGTATAGCATTTTCATTTATAGTGAGGTAAGGCAGCAGGTATCTAGGCTCCTCTCCCTGCCCTCCAGGGGATGTCCATGTCTGAGTGTACCGGCAGAAAACAGTTTTTTCACATTAAAGTTTAATTACTCACACTGGTTGACAAATATATATATTATATTTTCACCTTCAGTCTTACGTAGATCCATTCCACTGAGACACAAAAAGCTAGGCACGTGTTAAAAGGAACACATTTAAGCTCTTATTAGACACTAGACTCAGAGTGACGTTTAAAGCCTAGTTAAGACAAGACCTAAGAATAACTCAGACTGAAAGAACAAGAGTGAAAATGGAAGAGGAACTTTCTCTCTACATGAAAATCAAGTCCCATTATCTGCAATAATGACTCATTTGGCCCAAAGTGACAGAAAACACTTTTGTTTTGGATTTGGCTTTGGAACAAAATAGCAAATCAGACTTGAGCAGGCAAATCTGATTACAGTAATCCCTGGATATCTGCCTGTCAGTCTAAACATCCTCAGCCACTTATCTCTCTGACTCACAAGGGCAAAGAATTCACATTCATGTAATGTCATCAGGGTATGTTAACTTTTACACTCAGATGAGGTTTTTTCGATATTTCCTAAATTAGTCTCAGTGGCCTAAAAACGTTGTCCTTTTTTCCTGACGATTGATGTGATATTAAAGCAGACATTTACTTAAATGCTGCTTGATGAAAAGCTGTTTTACAACATGTTCGTCAGAGATGATGTCTGAGATGAGAACTGAGTCTACACAGACTGATTCTCTCTATCTGATCAAGGCCCGACAACAACATGACTTACAGTAAAGACAGCTTAGCTTCACCTTCGAGGTCTGTGCCCAGTGTTCTGATCCTGTCACTCCTGCAGGAAGTAGGAACACAGAAGACTAGTGCATGATATTTTTGTTTGCACATGGATTCATTTGTTAATTCATTTTTATAACATGATAATGTTATTAATACCAATAGACTGACTAATAAATCCAGCTATATTTCTGCACTGAACAGACAGACAGACTCATAAGGTTCCTGACATCAAACACCTGCACTGAACCAGAGCCACTGGCAAATGAGTTTACTCAAATTGTATGCTTTCATATTAAATATAATATAAAAATATATCCATAATTCTACTTATAATGTAAACTGTGCTCCACTTGCTATCACTTAAATGCCAAGCGTCTCCTCACCTCTGTTTGTTGGAAGAACATGCCAACAAGAGGAATATTAACTTTTTACGTTTTGTGACAAATATATATATTTTTTTCATATTTTTTTGCAATGACAAAACACTTTATTTTACAATGCATCTGAGAACGGCAAAAATCTGCTGGTGGAAAATACTGACAGTAATGGATAGGAAGCATCCTTTCTCTTTTTATCCTCTCCCTTTATTTGTGTACATATGCAAACTTGCCGTGTGCGGACAAATGGAAACCCAATGAATAGACTGCTTTTTTGAGTGTGTGTGCATGTGTATGAGTGTGTGCGTGTGTTTGTCTGTGTGCAATGCTTGGAAGAATGTCCCTGTTCTGATAGGATCAGAATACAGGAAATTCCTAAAATTTGGAATATGGCTCTAAAAGGCCTGTTGAAAACCAACATGTGACTTGGAATGAAAACTAGCAGGACAGGAAGTGGAGTGTCTGTGAGTATTTTGGTAGGTTAGTATAAGAAGGGGAAGACACAGTGGATGAATGGATGGGCAGGATGATACTGAAGACTGA